TATTTGAGTAGGTTCATCCCAACCTTTTTCTTTAAGGGTACCTCCTTGCACTGTTCCTCAACACCACCTGACACAGTTGACCGTTCATGCCCCCTGGTTCTCTTGTATTATCATGCCGCAGTGCTATTTCTGTGTCTTAAAATACTTCTTCTTGTATCCCGTACTATAATCCTTCTCATTTTTGATAGTATACTTTTCGTTAAAGTTATATCGATCCATTGAAAATTCAATGTTTTTACATCATCATATTCAATATTCATATACTACATTATCGGGTGGGGTCATAGGAAAAACAAAAGATAAAAATATCAAAAGAAAATATAAAAAAATGATAATTTGATATTTGTTGGGGGGCCAGAAAAATACTTTCTTAACTGATAAAATTTAATAGAAAAAGGTGAAATACCTCTATCAGTTCACGGGCAGCCGTAGTGCATTTGAAATTATGAGCCGGGTCAACCTTTCCGGTCCTAGTTTGTACTGTGCCGCCCGGACATTTGGTAAATGAAGCAGACACTCAATAGGACTAGCCGGTGCAACAAGGTTGACGCGGTCAGACAAGGTTGAATTTACTTTTACTAAAGGGTCAAAGGTGCGTGAGTTGCGTGGTTTATACATAATTGATGAATACCGGGTCTGTAAACGTAATTTCAACTAACCCTCCAAATATACATAGAGCGACATGTCCGATTCACAACTGTATCCTTAAAAGCGCAGTTTGATCAAGTATAAAAATTATATCCATGTTTATAATTATATAGGATTACAAAACACTCTGATTAAAAGGTTTCATGGCTCTCAAGCAAAAATCGATGAGACTATTGCCATTTACTTCTTAAAACCAAATCTAATCTAAATCTAGAGCTAAAATGTACATGTAAATAGCTACAAAAAAGCATAAGTGAGTTAGAGCGGCAAAATCAAAGCCCAAGGCGTTTCGACACTTTAAAGTCGATCCTTTCTTAAAAATTGATGAGACTCTTTGTTGCAGGCTGATTCTAGGAACTGAGATAAATGTTTCAAATGGTACCTTTGTGTTTAGGGATTGCCTCCTTATCTGAATTGAGTCACTCGAAATTATAACGAAAATGGGCACATTGCTAATTACTTTTTATATTTCAGAAATTTTTTTTTTCTTATTAAATCTTGAAATAGAAATAATGTAACATATGAAGAGGATAAATAGTCTGATTTGGCCATTAAGGAATAAAAAGTAAAAATCATTCAACCAAATTATTGACTTACCACTTTTTATATTTTTACTTTTAAATATTATTTTTAATTTTTGTTTTTTTCAATATAAAAACTATTTTGCAGAATTTTCTTTTTAAAGTCTTAAAAAAACGAAACTTTTTGTAGACAAAATTTTTAAATTTTGAGTAACTGTTAACTGTTAACCTCTTTGTCATTTAATGACGTTGATTGGACACACATAAACTAACTAACAGAAAACATAAATATATATATGGAAGAATACTTATATATATATCAGGAAAGTATAACATATTACAATAATATTGCTGAATTTCCGTTTTTTACTTTTTATTATTCGTACAAAGCACCGAATTCAGAGCACTAAACAACAACAAGAATAATCTATCTGCAGTTTTCTTTAAAATTGCTTTTAATGCCACCATTTAATCTTTGTACACCCTAAATATAAAATTTTCCAGATTTTATGTTTTTTTTTATTTCTAACTTTTTTCAATCTAAATTTTCAGAGGCAAAAATTGGGCCTCGTCGGTTCAACCATTTATTAGATACAAACAGACAAATACTAAGTTTTATATATAAAAGTCTCATCAATCAACTTAGATTTTTTATAACATTACCGTGATTCTTCCGAGTTCCCCATCAAGAGTCAATTTGAGACAAATCGTTTAAGAGGTTCCAGGGTTATGATCAGACTTACAAACAAACAGAGATTACTACTTTATTTGTCCTGTATATATGTATTTTAAGATCCTGAAATATACGGGACGATGGTTGATCATTTTATTTTTTATTGAAATGTTTTAATTTGAAGTATCTTACAGTAATATTTGGTTGTATGTTCGATCCTAACTCTTAAACCCCTTGACCGATTGGCCTCACATTTTGATTGGGGAACTTGAGAGAGCCACGGGAATGTTCTTAGCTTAGTTTTGAGATTCTAACTTTAGTAAGTAAACTTTAATCGGGAAAAATAGCCAAACTCGTAATTTACGACCAAGTGCGGGTAAACCGCGGCAATAACTATGAACTAAACTGGTTCCCAAAATATATATATATATATGTACTCTGCCGTAAGTTTGTAAGTTGTAAGTAATCTTTGGGGTAACTTTTATTGAAGAGGATTGACATTTTTCATAACTTTCAAATAAATGTAAAAAGTTTTACTAAACATTCTTTCTAACTATGAAAAAGTTTCATCTTCATATAAAGTTTTGCCAAAGCAGTTTTACCTCGGAGAGATTGGAATTTTTTCCTTTGAGCACACTCGCATGCATCAAAAATTAAAGGATTTAAACACTAAATTAAATTTTGTTTTAAGTTTTTTTTAAAACAAGTTAACAACGTTATTTTCCATGAATTGTTAAAGGGAGTGTTCGCGAAAAATGAAAGGGGGTATAGGCTTAAGGCGAAAAAGAAGTGCTTTTGATTGCTACTAATCTTACTTATTAACTATACATATATGCGTCGAAAAATAATCGATGACTTTTGTATGTAATATCTGAATGATTTGTTTGGAATTAAATTTATTTGTTTACGATCCAAGTTGAATGTTGCAACTTTCCGAATTTCTATGGACGCTACGTTCTTAGGTGTGAGTTGTTTTTAACAATTTTCTCCTTCTAGACGCAACAGATAGAAGTACGATTAGTAGTGATAAAAGCGTTTATTTTTCGCGAACACTCCCTTTAAACTTGTCTATGCGTGTCCTTAAATTGGAAACTGGTTTTCGTTTTCAATCATAAAAATCCGTCAAATACAGCATTTAAATGGCTTAATAAATCCAACTCTGTGAAAAATAAATCCAAAAGCTCGAGCCTTTAATTGGTCTCAATGACAGCTTCACTTAACATTCGGTGATGGTGATGGACCAAACCTCTGTAGAGTAAAAAACTAGATGTTAGGTCCACGTTTATTGAGATTGTTTCTGTCAGGAAGATTCAATGTTAAGTCCATGGGTTCCAGTACCCATGGTTATATTCCGGTTCATTTCAATAACTGGGCTGACATCTTACCAGCTAGAGCTAGCTGTACAGTACACATACAGATTATACCAGGCAAAACGGGACGGCACACCAAATGAACCAACCCTTTCTCGGGAAATTCTTGTGGCTTAGACTTGAGTTTTATTTTCCCAAATTTATTAAATCGCGGGTTGTAGTGTTTAATGTGGTTTTTTGATCTTGTTTGATTTTGTTTGATTTTGTTTGATTTTGTTTGATTTTGTTTGATTTTGTTTGATTTTGTTTGATTTTGTTTGATTTTGTTTGATTTTGTTTGATTTTGTTTGATTTCGTTTGATTTTGTTTTTAGGTTTTTAAAGTGCCATCTCACGGCCACATTTCAGACGAAATCTGAACAAATCAAGTAGAAGGAGGAGGAGCGTGTTTAAGTGACTGCACAGAGTATAGTGTAATTTCAAAGATGAAATTTCCCAATTCACAAGGGTACCATTAAACCTTTATAGAATCAGAAGTTTGGCAGATATCATAATTTTTCCAGGTTTAAAACTGTTGAATTCCTAAACGTTTTCTTGTAGTAATAATGCAAGTTACTTTTGAAGAAAAGCCAATAATGAAAATATCTAATTCATACTTGGTCAGACAAAGCCTTAAAGGGTTGAGAACCTTGCCTTTTTTGCATAGAGGGCCAATTGTTCTTTCCCGTACAGTCCCTTTAATAAGAATGTTATTATTTAAAGAATATTTTTTCATCTCATTTTTCCCTGGCTTTTTGTTGCGTCAATAAATTATAGAAGTTTTCTGAGGATTTAATTTTGTTCTCCTCCTACGTGTAGACTAAGTACCAGCATTAATATTTAAGAATTTTTTTATCAATTCTAAAGAAAATTAGTTTAAAAACTGGTGGTATTAAGCTGCAATAACACGAAACAGATGTTGTGATTAATTTCTTAAAGATCATGTAAAGAAGATAAATATTGTTTTAAATATTAGGGACTCTATAGTCACAGGTGTACTAGGGACTCCAGGGATACAAGGGAGTCGAGGGATACAAGAGATTCCATTGATGTAATGGAGTCCAGGAATACAAAGGACTCCAGGGATACAAGGGAGTCAAGAGGTGCAAGGGAGTTCAGGGATACAAGGGACTCCAGGGATAAAAGGGAGTCCAGGGATACAAGGGAGTCCAGAGCTGCAAGAAACTCTAGGGATACAAGGAAGTCCAGAGATACAAGGGAGTCCAGGGATACAAGGGAGTCCAGAGATGCAAGGAACTCTAGGGATACAAGGGAGTCCAGAGATACAAGGGAGTCCAGGGATACAAGGGAGTCCAGGGATACAAGGGAGTTCAGGGATGTAAGGGAGTCCAGGGATACAAGGGATTCTAGGGATACAAGAGACTCCAATGATGTAATGGAATCCAGGGATACAAGGGACTCCAGGAATACAAGGGACTCCAGGGATACAAGGGTGTCCAGGGATACAAGGGAGTCCAGAAATACAAGGGAGTCCAGAAATACTAGGGAGTCCATGGATCCAAGGAACTCTAGGGATACAAGGAACTTCAGAGATACAATGGAGTCCAGGAAGAAAGGGTTACAAGGGATAAAAGGGAGACCAGGGAGTCCATATCAGGGTTACTTTTGGACTCCACAGAAACAGAAATAAAAATTTAATGCATTTGTTGCAACCCGACATTGGGACGTTTATATCCCGGTATCCTGTATTTCTAATGGTACAGGACCGGGATCAGGTTCCGGCCTTATTTCTCCGGGTTCTCCGTTCAAACGGGAGGTTGCGTCCCGAACCCAAACCATTTCTCCGCACCAGTCTAATACCCGGAGTCATAACCTGAACATGCCAGGATCAGAGCGAAGCAACTAAACCCAACCCCGGTGATATTAAACCGCGAGAAGATACCAGAACTTCTAATATATTGCAATAAAAATACCAACAATAACCTTTTATTGGTCGACAAATCTAAAACGGCAACGAAATGAAAAAAGAAGAATTTTCTCTAACTTCCATACTTTTTATCCTTATCCATACTGTTGCTGCAAAAGAAGGTAAATACTAAATATTAAATAGCTCTCTAATAAGATGAGATCGAATCTTTTAAATTTGTTTTTGCAATTTTGTGATGTAACGTAAATCGATAAGGCATGTTGCAGCATTTTTTGTTAAAAATTACATGTAAGAGATCGTAAAAATGCAAAAATTTCGAATTTACGTTTCAGTCGGTTCCGTTTGGGAACAAACAGAAAATTGTGCAAAATACAACTTTTAAAACTTAAAGATTTCAATTTAAAGTTTAATGTATAACTGTGTAACTATGTACAACTAAGTAACCATGTAACCATGTAACCATGTAACTATATAACTATGTAACTATGTAACTATGTAACTATGTAACTATGTAACTATATAACTATATAACTATGTAAACTATGTAACTATGTAACTATATAACTATGTAACTATGTAACCATGTAACCATGTAACCATGCAACCATGTAACCATGTAACCATGTAACTATATAACAATGTAACAATGTAACTATGTAACCATGTACATGTAACCATGTAACTATGTAACTATATAATTATATAACTATATAACTATATAACTATGTAACTATGTAACTATGTAACCATGTAACCATGTAACTATGTAACTATGTAACTATGTAATTATGTAACTATATAACTATGTACCTATGTAACTATGTAACTATTTACTAATTTAACTATGTAGCTATGTGACTATGTAATTATGTAACTATGTAACTATGTAATTATCTAACAATGTAACTATGTAACTATATAACTATGTAACTATATAACTATGTAACTATGTAACTATGTAATTATCTATCTATGTAACTATGTAACTATGTAACTATGTAACTATGTAACTATGTAACTATGTAACTATCTAACAATGTAACTATATAACTATGTAACTATCTAACAATGTAACTATGTACCTATTTAACTATGTAACTATGCACTTCATCTGGAAAAATTTTGGTCACGTTTTGAATATTTTGTCTGATGTTTCATTCTTTCCGTCAGAATTCTTTGTAGGAAATGAATTTAATAATAAGTAACCTATTCCCCCCCCCCCCCTACCCAATTTATTTTTTTTCTGAATTCTGAACGAAAGAAAACATATTTTTGTTAAAAAGGGCTTGTCAACTAAAAACTGATTATTTTTGATTGAGATTTGGAGATTTACATTGCAAACAATTAGAGGAATTATCAGAATTTAACATTTTGATAATTTTTCAACATTTTTCAACATTTTTCAACATTTTTCAACATGGCGAAATTTTCATCATTGGTATTGAGATAAAGGTTTGAACAATAACGTTGTACTTGTATAACGGACATGCTTTGATTTTTAAATGGGACAGTCATTTAAAGAGAAATGAGATAAGAGAATTTATTTCGTATTTTAAAGTATGTTGATAATTTGCGACTACCAATTAATGGAAAAAATGTTTTATACCTCCCACTACATTTTGCAATTTTTAATATGTACACTGTACAGTTTTTTATATGTACACTGTACAGTTTTTCATATGTACACTTTAAAAATTTCTATGTGTACTCTGTACAATTTTCTATATGTACTCCGTACAGTTTTTATGTATATTATACAATTTTCTATTTGTACATGTTTAGATGATGGTGTACAGTATAGGATGATAGGAGAAGAAACAATTCATAAAATTCCTGTTGGATCAAAACTGTTTTTAGAATGCCCTCTTCAGCAGATATCAACTAGGTAATATTTCAATATCCCCCCCCCCCCTCCTAATTACTTGTTTTCATATGTACCTTCTCTTGTTTTCATATATACCTTCTCTTGTTTTCATATATTCCTTATCTTGTTTTCATATATAACTTCTCTTGTTTTCCTATATTCCTTCTCTTGTTTTCATATATTCCATTTCTTGTTTTCATGTATACCTTCTCTTGTTTTCATATATACCTTCTCTTGTTTTCATCTATATCATCTCTTGTTTTCATGTATACCTTCTCTTGTTTTCATATATACCTTCTCTTGTTTTCATATATAACTTCTCATGTTTCTCATTTCACATATTTTAAAGTTTTCTCTTGTTGATGTTATAAATATTTTATATCAATGGTTCACTTAAGTTTTCTCTTTAAAAAATCATGATTTAACTTTAGTCAATGCCTTATTTCATTTTAAAAACAAATACAAGATTTTTTAAAGAATAATTTCAATTTTTATTATTCAATGGTAATGAAAAAAAACTTGTTTTAAAAGACACCCTACATGTAATCCCAACATGTCTCAGCTTAAAACTAGATCCCAAACATGGAGAATGTCGAAGCTAATTGAGAAAAATAGTATGGTGCCCATAAATAGATGTTAAGGAAAATTTGACTCAGAACTTAAAAAATGTAAAGTTTCAAAATGAAAGCTGATTGACCAAACTGGGTTTTATGAAGGCTTAGTTTCTTCAGTTTGCACCTCAGAGCATTGATGTATACCCCCAACTTTATATAGTTTTAATCCCTGGAGTTATCCGTAGTTAAAACCAAACTCAAACACGTGTAAGTGTTTAACTTGTAGAGTACTTGATCCAACTTGTTCCAATAGAATCCGAGGATAAAATTTTTTATAATTTTACCGTCATCTAACAAATATGAAAAGTGCACGGTCAGCATGTTTTCTTTCCATTCCGACTCAGAGACTTTTAAGTAAATAGGCTTTTAGACTGAGCAGTTTATAAAACAATAACATAAAAAAAGTTCGCGGATTTATTAATATATTTTCGTGCGCCCAGTGGTAGTGGCGTTGATAGTTCACTGGATTGTAGCCATGTGGATTGTGTCAGGTTTGATATTCATTATCGCGGACGGATTGTACCTGGACTGATACAGTTCTGGACGAAGTTTTAAGAGTACGGCATTTACTACATATTTATGTTTTAATCATTTTCCTATAATTTTTTCTAATATTTTTTTTTTCCTTTTTCACTTTATCATTCTTTTTTAATAATAAAAGAATGAAGTTTGATTATTAAATTAAATTAAATTATTAGAACTGTCTTTCAGATTTCAAGTGGCCTTTCATTTTAAGAGTGCCTGTAGTAAATGCCGTATTAAAAGTTCCTCCCAAACAGTCCAGGTACCTCCCCTCCGCTATCATAGTCAACCAGGACACAATCCACAGACTTCAATCCCATGAACCATCAACACCACTACCAAAGGGCGCGATCTTGGTAGTTATCCAACAAGCTATTACTCAGGCTCTAAATGTCACACAGGGTCGCACGCGTAACTATCCAACAAGTTATTACTCAGACTCTAAATGCCACACAGGGTCACACGCGTAACTATCCAACAAGCTATTACTCAGACTCTAAATGCCACACAGGGTCACACGCGTAACTATCCAACAAGCTATTACTCAGGCTCTAAATGCCACACAGGGACACAAGCATTGACTATCTATTAAGATCTTAGTAGATCTCTGATTCTAACTAATTCAAGAATTTAGTCATTGCCACAAACTTAAATATTCTAATCTGTATATCTTTGCATCCTGAATGCGTAAAACTTTAACATTTTTCAACTTTTAAGATTATTTTTATCTAACATTGAGTTGCAAAGATATATGGATTATTCCTTCAAGCCCTGGATTAATGAATCAATGAAAAACTAAATTAATTCATTTATGAAGTAAAGTATTTTGTATTCATTAATTATTAAATGTTGACTTTTAAACAGTGCTATCTCTCCAAATAATGTAAAATGAATAATAAATCAAAGTAATAAATTAGTTATTAAAAAAACTGCATGTTCTTGAAAAGGGAGCAAAGATAATACAAAGCACAATATATAATTAATAATGAATGTATTTAGACCTGGAACTATAATGCTATGGAAGAAGGGATGAATAAACAATGCATAATAACTAATGAATGATGAATGATAAATAAATAAAAAATTGAATTGAGGCCTGGAACTGCAATCATGAATAATGACTATCTCATGATAAATAATAATTAATAAATAATACATAATAACTAATAAATAAATAAATAAATGTATTTAGGCCTGGAACTATAATGCTATGGAAGAAGGAGCATAGATAATGAATAATATATAATGATAATACATAATAATTAATGATTAAATAAATGAATGTATTTAGGCCTGGAACTATAATGCTATGGAAGAAGGGGCATAGAGTCCTGACAGCAGGAATTATGAAGGTACAGTATTTTTGGAGTTAGTACATTACTCTTGGAGTTAGTACAGCACTTATTGAGATAATAGAGTACACCCCGACTTATTAGAGTACATCTAGAGTTGTTAGAGTAAACCTCATTTTAATAGAGTTCACTTTAATTTCATAGAGCTGATATAAATTTCAGAAAGTAAGTTTATTCAGTACATAGCAAGTTTATTTAGTATGTAGCAAGTTTATTCAGAACATAGCAAATATATTTAGTGCATAGCAAGTTTTATTCAGTACATGGCAATTGTATTCAGTACATAGCAAGTGTATTCAGTACATAGTAAGTGTATTCAGTACATAGCTAGTTGATTCAGTAGATGGCAAGTTTATTCAGTACATAGCAAGTTTATTCAGTAAATAGCAATATTATTTAGTAGATAGCAAGATTAATCAGTATATAGCAAATTTTTTTAGTCCATAGCAAGTTTATTCAGTACATAGCAAGTTTATTCCTACAGGCTACCCATGAGTGTCCACAAAAAAATTCAGCCCATTCGGTTCAGCCGTTTGGATGGCCAGAGGGAACATAGATATGAATGTCTTGTTTTATTATATAGATAAGTTGAAAATTGACTTGAATATCGTCTTTGATTCGATAGTTGATAAATAACTAAGAATGTTTGGATATTAGGGAAGAAAGATTTGCGGAAAAGGAGATGTTGAAAATGTGGTCTGAAATCTGCATACGTTGTATCTTTAATCTTGACGGAGATATTTAATATTTCAACAATTTTAATATTATTATAAAGATTGAAAGTACAATATTTTCAATATCTCTGTCAATTATAAAAGTACAAAAATGGTAGACGAAATTTAGAAATTCCAGAGTAGTTTTAGGCAGAATAAGTGGATCCAACGAGGTTATAGTGTATAGAGTGATAGTGTACGCTAATTCTTTACTAATTTTATTGGCCATACCGAGAGCGTACTGAATATGTGTTTATTATAAGTTGATTCTGGCCTAACCTATAGTATGTCATTATTAGTAAACAGTTGTAAGTGTACAGTACAGCTAACTGAGCACACAGGTAGAGAACTATCATCCCCCTGGATAAACCACTAAGTATGAGTGGCGATATAAAAGTCGTCACTTGATTCTCATGTCTATAGGAACACATCGCAGTATAGTTAGCACAAACCAAGTTTAAGACAGGGTAAAAATAATGATGATTGAGATTTAATCGTAAAACTGGAGAAGTGTGAGACGTTTTTTGCAGGTTAGACGTGATGCTAGGTTGGAGTTGGTCGGAGACAACCTTGAGATCTCCGGTATCGGAGTTCATGACGGAGGAAGATACAGCTGTGAGGTCGAAACCGATTCAGCTGAACCTCTAGCTGTAGTTCATATTGTAGAAATACTAGGTAATTGTAAATATTAATAAAGGTACTGTTGGCGTAATATCACGTGACCCTCCATTTTTCATTTTGAAAGGTGTAAATACTGTCAATTTTCTTCATCGTCTATCTAGCATTAATCCGCAGGTCACTTTTAAGATTTATAGCATTAAACATAGGTTAAGCGGGAAACGGAAGTTAAGCTCTAGACGTATTCGTGGCTTAATTAAAAAGTTACAACCTCTTATTTAAGATAACTTGAACACTCTTTCAAGCTGTTGGATTTTTTCATTCGAAAAGAAAGGAAAGAATTACTTTTATAAAACTCTAATTTTCCAATTTAATGGTGTAAATCTTTAATGTTTCAAAATTGAACTATTTAATACAAATATCAAAGGTCTCCGGACTGGAAGTATGTAATGACAAGGGAAGTAGAGTTTGATTAGGGAGTGTTCGCGAAAAAAGAAAGGGTGTATTGGCTTACGGCGAAAATTATGCGCTTTTGATCCCTACTAATCTTACTTCTATCTGTTGTGTCTATCTGGAGAAAATTGTTAAAAACGACTCATGCTGAAGAAGAACGTAGCGTCCATACAAATTCAGAAAGTTGCAACATTCAACTCGGATCGTAAAAAAATCAATAGTCATTGATTATTTTTCGGCGTATTCGAACATAGTTAATATTTCATAATAATCTTTATTTCTTTTTTAAAATTATATTTTGCTGGTGCCGGATTTTCAAACATTCCTGGAAAATATGAAAATGTTGTCCTCATTATCAAAAATCCTCGAAACAGGAATAAATGTTTTCAGATATCAGACAAAAATAAAAAATATATAGATAGTAAGATTAGTAGCAATCAAAAGCGCTTATTTTTCGCCGTAAGCCTATACCCCCTTTCATTTTTCGCGAACACTCCCTTTAAACAATCTGATTAAATTTGTGATTTTAGTTCCTCCTTCAGTTCGAACTGAACCTAGGAGCGGAGAAATAACAGTTAGAGAAGGAACCAGTGTTTCTTTAGAGTGCAGGTCAGTAGTATTAATAATTTCAATGCAGGGAGTATAAAGAAATAGAAGGGAGAATTAACTGACGCGGTTTGCCCTACCATATGATTATACATGTCTAATGTACAATTACCGCGTACACAATAACCTATTCTGAATATTTCTTATACAAATGGAGTACCGTCTACAAAGCATGTAAAATCATATGGTAGGGCGAACCGCGTCAGTTATATTTCCCTTCTATTCCTTACTCCCTGTTTCAATGCAATGGTAGTCGACGCTCCTCCCCACCCAAACACTATGGGCAAAACGGTCTGCTTTGTTTATTACCATATTAGAGTTTTATTAGAGTTCATGCAATTTTTAAAAATGAAAGCATTTTTTATCGTTGTTGATTCACGTCGTATTCATTTGTGAAACTGATAATGTGGTTATCTGTGAGATTTATGCTTAAAACAAGGGTATTTTAAAAATTATGGGATTTCAACAATGTGGTGCTGCATATGCTTATTTTGTATCTTTAATTGGACTGATTTATCAGTTTTAAATTATTGTCTAAATTTATCCCCCCAAATATGCTTATCTTCGCTCAAATATATATATTCAATTCAATATAGCTGGCCAAACGACTAGACCAAATTGGCTAAATTTTAGGAAACCCATGGGTACCCTCGAGGTAACATCGGCTAAAAACATTCGATTTTTATTTTCCAAACTCGATTATTATTTCCATATTCGATTTTTTTTAAATTCGAATTTTTTTCAAAATTAGAATTTTTTTTCCAAAAGCGTTTTAAAAATTCCACGGGCAATGTAGGGTGCATTGTAGTTAGTTTTAGACTGTCAAACCATTTAGTTTAAGAAAGAAAAGAGACGTTTAATTATTCTTAATTAATTATTTACGCTCTTTAAGCTCGTCACTCAATTTGTAAATGTTGTGGAAATGAAATGTAACGTTTGTAAAATAAAAATAAAAATTGATTAATAGATTGATAAACTTTATTTTGTAGCAAGAAAACAGTAGAAAAATATTGCCCGAAATATGTAATATAACAATGTAATTAATATGTGTTTTTTGTGGATCTCTCTCTAAGCAAATTTGTTGAAGACAATTTCTGTGAACTTAGGAATTATCTAATATATCCAGAGTATACTGGATACTCAAGAATTTAAATATATTTAGAACGAACGGGAACCCTACTCCTGGTGTGACCTGGAGTAGGGACAATGAACCCGTCCTTCCCGGGTTGGAGAGGAGAGGGAGTAGGTGAGAAGAAAATAATTTTTAAATGGACTGTTCACATAATTTAAAGTGACCCTAAATTCAAAGAAAAAATCCTCGAATAATTGAGCATTTGAAATATGATAAAAAGCTGATTTTCATGAGGCCTCTAAAACCTTAGGCAAATTTTCTAGATACATATGCCAGGATACATGACGGTTTAAAGACCGATAGATATATGTTTCAAAAAATCTAATTTTTTATCTAAGCTAGACACCTGTAAACAATTCTAAAAAACGGATGTAAAATTATTTAAAACATTTTGGTTGGTTTATTCCGACATGCCTTTTGCAATTTGTTTAAAGCCTTCCTAGCACCCTAACCTTTAAGGTTATTATAGCTATATTTTTTTAATTGCACCACAATACCTTAACTATGAGAAATTTTTCTAGGGGCTGGGTAAAGTAACACTCCTCTCACCCCAGGCTTTACAAAAAAAATAAAAATATTTAAAAGCAAAAAAAAAATGTAATTCTTGGAGATCAGGAACATAAAATCTAAGATTAAAGAAATTTGGGGCGCGCAACACCCTAAAAGCCTAGTAAATAAACAGGGTTACCCAAAACGGATGAGACTTCAGAGACGGCTGTTCGGAGTTTATTGAGTTATTTTTCTTGCATCCATGCTTTCCTGTATTTAAAAATAACCTAGCTATTAAAAGACTGTATTGAAGACAGAAGTTCAAATTTACCATTCAAATATTCACATTTAAAAAGTTTTATGTCGTCTGTTTAGTCTCATCCTTTGTGGATAACCCTGGACATATCTATTCAAATCCCAGTTTGTTTTATCAATTCAAACTTTTCCCTCAGATTCAAGATGGAAGATAAGCATTCTGTTTGATCCCTAAGAAAACCTTGTTAAATGGAAAATTGTTTTTAATATTTTAATTCCATCTTTTTGTACATAACAACCCCAGCAGAGATCAGATCAGATCAGATCAGATCAGATTAGATCAGATCAGATCAGATCAGATCAGATCAGATTAGATCAGATCAGATCAGATCAGATCAGATTAGATCAGATCAGATTAGATCAGATCAGATCAGATCAGATTAGATTAGATCAGATTAGATCAGATGAGATCAGATGAGATGAGATCAGATGAGATGAGATCAGATCAGATTAGATTAGATCAGATCAGATTAGATCAGATCAGATCAGATCAGATCAGATCAGATCAGATCAGATCAGATCAGATCAGATCAGATTAGATCAAACTAGATTAAATCAGGCCACCAGAGCAAATTATATAAGTTCAGAGTTCGGATCTTTTTTGTGGAGTATCCTTAATCTTAAACACTAGATCTCGATATCCAATATGGACACTTTTGAGAATAAATGCTTGATCAGGAGATTCACAACATAAGTTCTAACTTCAGATCTGATACAAAGATACTTTTTTTACGACAAAAAGAAAACATTTTCACGCATAGTTGAAAAGTAATCTCTAGGAAACAATACACAGTTCGGACCAGAAAACTGACAATTATCCTCGAATATAGCACTTTTTTAGGATAGATTTAGTTGCAAATTGCATATTTCGTTCCTCATTGTTTGCTGAGATAAAGAAATGAATCGGACAAACGAATATGAAAATATAGAGTCTCTTTAAAGTATGTTTCCAATCCCTTTAAAAAGAAAGATGTCGTTGAGAATTTTACTGTTACTAGTAAAACATCATTGATTTCTAGAAGTTATCTATATATTTTGAAGCTATTGTATATTGCCAGGCTTTTAGGGTCTCTCTTCTATTTCACGTGTAAACATTTTCATCTGTATGCGTTATTAGATAAAAACTAAAAAAAATGTTCGCGGATTTTAAAAAATAATATCGTGGATTTCCAAAATTCAATTACAATTTTTAAATTTTGATCATCTTTAAACCTTCCCTGGGGACATGTGAAGTCTCACAAAAAAATTGGGCCCGATCGGTTCAGCCGCTTTGACGTTTATTGAATACAAACAAACAGACAGACAAACAGACACCAAGACAAGCAAAGTATATAAATATAGACAAAGCTCTTCGCTCATATTTATGTAAGCTATAGCCATAGCTGGACCAAATTAGCTGAATTTTTTCGAAATCAAATTTTTTTATTCCACGGGCAACGCCGGGCACTTGATGTAGCTAGAATTAAATAAATTAAAACATTATTTTAGAATAGAACTAAGCAGTGGAGGAATGATTCTAACTCTTCACAATGTTGACAGGAGACACAGTGGCAAATACAAATGTCTGGTAAATTTTTTTTTTGTTTTCGCTTTTTTAACTTTTTGTGCACTATCTCAAGAAATATGAAAATTTGTATTTTATATCAAGAAATATGAACATTTTGTTCACTATATCTAGAAATATGAACATTTTTTTCACTATATCTAGAAATATGAACATTTTGTTCACTACATCTAGAAATATGAACATTATGTTCATTATATCAAGAAATATGAACATATTGTTTATTATATCTAGAAATATGAACATTTTGTTCACTACATCTAGAAATATGAACATTATGTTCACTATATCTAGAAATATGAACATTTTTTTCACTATATCTAGAAATATGAACATTTTGTTCACTATATCTAGAAATATGAACATTTTGTTCAATATATCAAGAAATATGAACATTTTGTTTACTATACCTAGAAATATGAACATTTTGTTCACTATATCGGAAACCGGAAGCATTTTGAAATTACAAACAATTTTAACCTTATTTAGGCTGACGTCTGGGCTACCCAATATAATCTGAGGGGGTCGGGGGTCCTTGGTACCCCCCCCCCTATTTTCTTAATGTGATACAAATTTATAATATTTAATACATTTTTGGTAAGCCCTTGGGCTTTACATAAATAATCTGAAAACAATTGTAAATTCGCAAAATTTCAAATATTTATTGCAATACCAAGTTGTTAAGCAAAAAATTAGCAAAAAAAGTACGCGAAATATGATAAATTACACATTTTTTAAAAGCCCTGCCACGGTGAATTCAAATGTGCAAAAATATTTGCAAAATTTTCAAAAACTAAATTTGTATTCAAGGAAAACTGAAAATGTGCAAATTTCTCTAAATGCATCTGTGCATAAATCTATGCCAAATTTCTTTGCAAAAATTGTGCAATCTGCTTACTTTTTCGTAAGGCTTTTTAAAGAGCTATAAAAAGTTGAAATCTAATGACCGAAAGTGGGTCTAAATATAGATTAAGTCGAGTAAAGGTAAAATAAGGCATTCAAACATCAATTTGTAACTAAAAAGCTATATAGTCTTACACGATTACATAATATTTTTTTTATAAAAAATCTGTTACGCGTAACTGCAAGTAATAATATTAAATTTCCAAAGCTTTCTCAATTTTAATAATAAATGGAAATATAAGGAAAACAAAATTAAGAAAAAAGAAAAATATTTTTTATGATTCAACACAATCAAAATGTTTTAATATTAAACTTTTGCTGCATTTGATCCAGCAGAATTTATAGTTTAGAATGTGTAAGGTCTACGACATCAGAGCCCGCGATTTAAAAGCTTCGGCTCAAGTCATAGTTCCTTAAACCCGACTACCCGACTTTAAGAACCAATCTTCGACCCAACTCTGACGTCAGCTTGTGTCACGTGATTGACAGCTGCATGATCTTCGGCTCGACTTAAGGAGTTAGGCCCAATAAAAATAAAACCGACCGTGGTTGCTTTTAGTGGAGAATAAGGCTCAATGGTGAGTCTTGTTCTCATAAAAACCTTAAATGCGCCAATTCATACCATGACAATCCGCCAAATAGATGGAAAATAAGATCCGAAAGCTCAAGTCGTAAATAAGGCTCAACGGCAGATTAGACCCGAGCCGTATTTTCCCAAATTTTTTAAATCGCAGGCTCTGGTTGCAGAGATATCACACTGGATCATTCTGCGTACGGGTGTGTTGCAATAAACGCGTTTGGTCCACCACATATATACTAGGTACACTAGACGGGCTGGTACGAATAAATACCTGTACCGGTTCAGATGCAACGATAAAAAGAATAGAGTTTGAGGCGAGTTATCGGTTCATTTATTATTTTATATTTGTCTTTAGGCCCATAACGGAGTAGGAGAGGATGGTGAGGGACTTATCAAGCTTCATGTTCTTTATTCTCCAGTTGTCAAGGTAGATGACGTCATTATACTAATGTAAATACCACGTAGGATTGTTATCTTATACGTTTTCAACCATAACTCATCTTGTTAAAGAGATACTGAGATACTCATACTTGTCCCTAAAATCAAAATTAAAGGAGCTACAAGGTCACAACGTCGCAAAAAATTTACCTTCTCTTTCTGTTAAGTTTACAGTAAAAAATATAATATGTTGCGTATAGCCGGCAAAACGACTGGACCGATGGGGCAGAATTTTTTTTTAACCCTCATGGGTGGCCGGGGGGTGTTATAGGCTAAAAAAACGCCGGGCCCTTCAACTAGTAATGTATATAATTAAACTATTCTGGGTGTTCCAATAATCATACGGGGTTCAATGACGACTTTTAAATCGTCCTAGATTCATGTTGCATTTATTCATGAACTCTATTCCTTGTTTTTCAGTAAAAATGACTGAAACTGCATGATTTCGCTCATTTAAGAATTAAACATCATTATTATTATAATTATTATCATTATTATTATAATTATTATCATTATTATTATAATTATTATCATTATTATTATAATTATTATCATTATTAGTGAAATCTAAGGTGGTCCAGGATATAATACTGCATTCAAAAGAATTAAGTCTTTCCACAAACTCGATTTATTAATCCATATATCTTTGCAACCCGTTATCGTAAACCTTTTGCCATTTTTTAATGAGTAGATTTGTTTGTATTTTAGTAAAGCACGGTTTTTCCCTTTAATTTCTGAAGTCTTTAATAAATAATAGTTTTGCATTCTTAACAGCTTCTGGAAAGGTTACAAAAGATATTTTCATCAGAGAAGATACAGATGAGAGCTCTCCAGTAATGTTTAGGGTTGTGGGAGGTATAGGATACAGATGAGAGCTCTCCTGTAATGTTTAGGGTTGAAGGGGATACAGGAGAAAGAAGAGAGCTGATAGCTTTAGTGTTTAAGGTTGCAGAAGAGGTGGTGGAAGGGGGTACAGGATACAGAAGAGAACTGATAGCTGTAATGTTTAAGGTTGCAGAAGAGGTGGTGGAAGGGGGTACAGGATACAGAAGAGAACTATCTGTATTGTTTAAGGTTGCTGAAGAGGTGGTGGAAGGGGGTACAGGATACAGAAGAGAACTATCTGTATTGTTTAAGGTTGCAGAAGAGGTGGTGGAAGGGGGTACAGGATACAGAAGAGAACTATCATGTATTGTTCATGCTGAACCTAAACCTGAAGTTACTTGGTATAAAAACTCAATGCTCTTGGATCTTGGAACCAGGTATAAAGATATAGATGGATAGAATAGAATAGAATAGAATACACGTGCATTTAACGGTTCTGCCAATATTCCAGAAAGCTGTGACTTTCGATCACAATTTGACCCATTAAACATACTTTTTTAGTGTTTTTTTCTGAAGTACTTTTTTTGTCGGCATATGCATTTGTATGAAAAAGTATAACATAAACAAATCCGTACGGTAAAAGATTGTTGAATTATATTGATTTCTAATAGAAGAAACCAAATGCTGCTCACTCTGGTTAGTCCGGGGTGAATAGAATAGAATAGAATAGAATAGAATAAAATAGCATATAAAAGAATTGAATAGAATATGATTGTTCAATCAAATAGAATAGAATATAATAAATGTAGAATTCACCCGTAAAATGTATGATTGTTGTCAAACACAACGCAAAATATTATAATGCTGATTTTCTAGATTTTTATTGAAATTCTTTTGGGAAAGTTCTCGTCACCAATCAAAAGTTTTCAAACTGTCTCTTTTATTCTAGAACGTTTTAATCGGATTTTAATGGACGCAGTCTGAAACTTTAAATAAATTCAAAACTCTATAAAAAAGGTTAATTGTTAGAATTTACTGTCAGTGATATTATTCAACTAACAATTTTTTATCAAGTTTTAACACTTTTTGAAATAGGAGTTTTTTCCCAAGGGCGACTAAGTGACAATTTCCAAAGTGGCAACTTCCCAAATTTGCAATATCCCAACTTCCCAAAGGATAGTTTAGGCCCTCTGAGGCGCCACAGGCTGCAAGTGGGGGCAGGCGCTGTGGCTAGGATAAGATAGGGGACCGAGCGCTGCGACTAAAACATGCAAGGGTACAAAGCGCTCCGGCTAGAACATACTTGGTAAGTTGCCGCTTGGGAAATTGCACAGCTGGGAAGTTGGCCCTTGGGGAAATACCCTTGGGAAGTTGTTGCTTGGGGAAAAGCCTTTGGGAAAGTTCCATAAGATCGTGAGATAGGTTTATTTTCTTATATTATTACTTCTTGTATTACAAATATGAATTATTTTTAGGTACGGAATAGGTCGAGAAGCGAAGAAATATAACCTTATTGTGAAGAAGGTAGGAGTTGAGGATTTTGCAAACTACTCTTGTCACGCGGTAAACAGCCTGGGCAGAACCAAGGGAACCATTCAACTCAGAGGTAAAAAAATAGACTTTTTTTGAGACCAACCATCAATTTATCCAAAAATGCATTTTTTTCTCGTGAATTTATAAAAATAAATTCTTAGATTTTCAATCACTTCAATTAAAGTGCATTACCCAGAGGTATAAATAATAAGATTTGCAAAGTTTACTTAAAAAATCAATGCTTTTATACAGTGATAACCAGAAAACTCTGGAATAGGAAGTCTACTTTTAAACTCAAGTTATGACTTTTAATAGCGCATTGAACATGAGACACAGCAATTGTGCAACGTAAACAGACCCATTATACTTAATTAGTAATTTAATAACTTTGAAGTAAAGCTATTTGCTTTAATCAACATCAAATGCACTTCAGAAATGCTATAATGTTGTCTTCCCATTCTACAGTTTTCTGGTTATGACTGTAATCTTATTTACAGTGAGAACAAGAAAACTCAAAATTGGGATTTATACGCAAACCCAGACGCTTCAATTGGGTTCAATAAGATGCAATTGAATGTCGTCTTTTCTATAATTTAAAAAGATTTTATGACTTTTTAAGCATTTGCATCACCAAAACCTTGCGTTTTTTACGTAATTTACCGTTAGAAATGCATAAATTTATTATCTTTTTTGATAAACTTTATCTTAAAACAGATTACAATGTAATTGGTTAAAAAAAAATTTGGCTACATAAAACCAAGTTTTTTTCGGGCCTTGCTCACGTTACTGGCCTAAAATTCTGCTTTAGATTATTAAAAAACTATACTTAATGACTTCTAACAAATTTTGTATTCAAACATGTGGTATTTTCCATACAAATGAGATGCGTAATAAAATCACAATTTTAGCTTTATCTTAGCAGGAGAGCATCCTATCCTATAACCGATGCCTATAACTGATTAAAACAAATTTAGAAGTTTACAACCGTGTTGCTATTTTCCCACCATTTTTAGAACCTACAATGATTAATTTTTTTGATAACTAATAAATTCCTAATGCCTTATCTTACCGTCTTTTAGAAAACTATGTAATTATATGAAGACGACTTTATAGCTATACTTTAGTGTATTTGATGTTGTTACAAACGCAAACAGTTTTATTAGACATTTATTTAATCAATAATTTCGTGAAATAGGTCTGTTTACACTGAACAATTGCGGGGTTAGGCTCATCGGACTTTTTAAAGTTACATCTGGAATTAAAAAGTCCTATTCCAGAATTTTCTGCTTAATACTGTATACTCTGTAGGTGTATATATGAAAATCGAAATTTTTCGGAGAAAACTTTGAGTAATTCTGAGAATCCATAAACCTTCCCTGGGGTCATGTGAGGCCCCACACAAAATTTGTGCCTGATCGGTTCAGCCGTATTGACATATATTTAAAGATATCCTTATTAGGTAACCCCTGTGCTCCTGTGTTCCTGAACAAGGTTCTGAACCTGGGTCCAGGTTCCTACCGTGTATCCTGGGAGACCCGGAGCTATGAAGATATCCTGGAATATAGACTGTTCTATAGACAAGACGAGGTACGTTAGTCCGGGAACTTACAAATCCTGAGTTTTCATAAAATAGAGAAAAAATAGTATATTGCTTGCAGCTCAGATGATGAAAGATACAGTGTTTGTAAAAATTCTTTGTCACAAACTCTGATTATCTTATTCCTATATCTCGCAACCCAATGCCGTAGACCTTTGATATTATAAGCTTTGAATTTTGTTTGATCACATATTCTGAGTTTAAAATATCAAACTTTTACAACGTCAGATTGCAAAGATATAGGAATTACAAAATTTGAGTTTAAGACAAAAAATCAGTTTCTTTGTAATCAAAAAAAATATTTTACAAGCTACATTACAATACTAAACTAAACAGTTTTTAGTGTTTAAAAAATCATTATCGTCATATAGTTTTTGCCCAAATATGTTTTTCTTATTCTCACCTAAATAGTGATACTCAGTACTACTCACTGTATCTGTATTCTTTGGTATTCTAAGTCCATGGGAGCGGCCATATTAACACTTAAACCCAGAATAAATCAAAATAAACTGCGCAACACTCTCAACAAACATGGTGGACTTTGTAAACAACAGTAATGAAAAATATAATATTAGTTTTACAAGGAAAAAAATCTTCGTGACTCTATTTTAACTTGATTGGGATTTAAAAATAATGCTTAATCTTGAATGGCTAAAAACCGGTTCTCTTGGTTTTCCCGGGACAAATCCGCGAATGTCAAACTCAAAAATCAGCAATCAAAATCATCTGCTGAATTTGTCAATTTCAAAGATTCAAAATGAGATTTCTTGAAAGTAAAGCTAGGATTGTTCAGTTGGGTTTTACTTGTGTCTATTTTTTTTTGGTTTTAAAGGCGCCACATAAAAATCTGAGATATTTAGCATATTAGAATTTGTGCGCGAATAAAGTCAAAGCATCAATATTATAAATATTCTAGAAGCCTCAGTTTTTTATTCGAGCAAATGAGTTTTGATTCGTTTATGAGTTTATGTGATCAACAACATCTAGGGGACTGATATACGTATTTTCAAATGATACTCAATTTTTAGAGGGGCAATATTTTGTCCGATAAAAAATGAATAATCATTTCTCTTTGAAAATTGGATATTTTCAATTGTATTCAAAAAGAATTAAATCCTCGAATCTTTTAATATTTTATAAATATTTAGAGTTCTCCTGACGATCCTCTTCATTGGAGTACTGTCATTATTAACGGTCCCCAGCCGGGGGCTGATACTCCTTTAATTCAGCAGTTCCCCTTGACTAACCTACAGGAGGGAGCAGCATATCAGGTATATTCTTCTTTAGATCAGCAGTTCCCCCTGACTAACATACAGGAGGGAGCAGCATATCAGGTATATTCTCCTTTAAATCAGCAGTTCCCCCTGACTAACTTACAGGAGGGAGCAGCATATCAGGTATATTCTAATTAAATCAGCAGTTCCCCCTGACTAACCTATAGGAGGGAGCAGCATATCAGGTATATTCTCCTTTAAATCAGCAGTTCCCCCTGACTAACCTACAGGAGGGAGCAGCATATCAGGTATATTCTCCTTTAATTCAGCATTTCCCTCTGATTGTAACCTACATCAGGTATACAGTTCAGGAGGGAGCAGTACATCAGGTATACAGTAAAGGAGGTAGCAGTATATCAGGTATACAGTACAGGAGGGAGCAGTATATCAGGTATGCAGTACAGGAGGGAGCAGTATATCTGGTATTCAGTACAGGAGGGAGCAGTATATCAGGTATACAGTACAGGAGGGAGCAGTATATCATGTATAGCTCTAATATGCTGCTCCTGATACCAATTCAATTCTGGTTTAGCCTGTACCTCCTTTAAATTTTTCGCGAAAACTCTCTTTAAAGACAAAAAGTTAACATTTTTTCCCCATATTTTATACCCCCATTAACCTTGTTAGTTAAGAAAATAATTTGATCTTTTAGACGAAAGTGATGGCAAGAAACCGGTTTGGTTGGTCAGAGTACAGTCCTGTGTTTTCATTTATAACCAGTCTACGGAGTACAGGTAAACACGTGCATGGTGCAAATGTATCAACCATTGCTATAAATTGTGAATCAGTACGGTAAGACAGCAATATATTCTCTCAGGATTGAAGACTGCTCTAATAAAAGTGAAGAAAATGTGTCCTTAAAGGGACTGTACAGGAAAAATGAAAGGGGGGTATAGGCTAAAACCTGAGAATCTCAGGAGTTGATTGAGACATATAAGAGATCTGATGTTCCTGTCACAAGAAATTGATATAAAATTCTATACCAAAACGTATATATGAGATTTTGTATAAGATTCGTAGTATCAAACAGATCATATTTACAAATACGCAACCAATATGAAAACAACGATATCCCAGAGGAGCCTGAGAAACTCAAGTTTGCTCCTATTATTATTTATATTTAATAATTTTTAATTTTTAATAGATATAATTGATAATATTATTTTGCGTCCGGAACATGTCACCAGAACTCCAACCAATGGCAGTGCAGTATTATTGTCACTTGTCTCGTCTATATCACATGACCAGAATACTACACTGCCATTGGAGGGAGTTTTGGTCATGTGATACGGACGTATAGCTTACATGTATACGTTTTGGTATAATTTTATACAGTTTTATGCAAATTTCTCGAGACAGGAACATAAGATAGATGTCTTATAGGTATCGTTCAACTCCTGAGATTCTCAGGTTTCAGCCTATACCCCCTTTCATTTTTCCTTTACAGTCCCTAAGCTAATCAGAAATAAAATAAGGCCTGCACAGTGCACAATAATAATACTAAAATAACTTTGCAAACTTATTTCATGAAAAGTACTTTTTAAAGAAAATTGTTGTTAATATAATATTTGTTCAGATCCTCCTGAGGTTGAAAATGGAATGAGTAAGCTGCCTGAAACCTGGATCTATGCAAGCAGTTCAACATTTAATCATCCCATGCTTCCGCTGCTCTTTTCTAACCTTTTTATTCAACTTTTTATCAGACGTTAGATACTTATTGTTTACCTTCAAGGGACTGTAAGTGTAATGTTAAGTGACTTTACCTGGAAAGATGGCAATGTCTGATTGACAGTGGTACCCTTAAAAGCTTTGTCTGGTTAGATCAAGTATGAACTAGATATCATTTTTTACAGTTTTAAAAACTAATTATTTTTTATTGTGCGTTCTCTGTAATTTTAACTTGTGCATTTTTACTGCATGAAAACACATAAAAACTATCAGAATTAAACACTTTGAAACCTAGAAAAATGTCAACATGTTCCTCATTTTTGGATCAGATTAAAGTTTCAAGGATACCGTTGTGAATCGGGCATTGTCATCTCTGCACGGAGGATCGCTTCAAATTAGGTGTACAGTCCCTTAAACAGGGTAGTCCACGAAGTACCATAATCGATTCACATATATTTCGGCCGTTTCCTTGTTTGGGTTTGAAGTAATAGTCACAAGTTATTTGTAAAATAACTTCAGTTACTAATTTTTCAAAAAACACACAAAATTTCCTAGCATAAAAGTTATCAAGTTGTGAATCAATTTCGGTACTGTTTATAAAGTTGAAATAAACAGGACAGTCGTATACAGGGTGTCCCACGAAACATGACAGTTTGTGAATGGTTAAAAATGTCTTCTTCTATAATTTGTTGTTTGATACCAAAGATGATGGTAAGAAATACTAAATGGCAGTAATATTATAGTAAAATTGATTTCAAACAAATATATTTTTGAGTAAAAGATTACTCAAAACTGCAAAAGTCTTAAACAATTAGTACAGTGTCATGGAAGAAGACATTGAAAACTATTCACCAACTGTCATATTTCGTGGGACACCCTGTAGCAAACACTTATAATCTTATGATTAACAGTGTGTTAGAATATCATAACACCATGTGCAGATTTTTGCACATTTTGTTAAAATCTTTTTAGAATTGCAGTGATATGCAAAAACAATGGAGGACATGCACTTAATATAATGCCTTTTAGTTAAAAAAAAAAAATTTTGTTTTTCCGATGGTTTGATTTGGCGAGGAAAATACAAGATTTAAAATGCAAAATGTCTATGCAAAAATTTCTAAAGCTTATTATTTTAACTATTTTTTGCATAATTCAAAGTTTGTTTTGTAATGTTTAATCAGTTTTTTGAATTTAATTGAATTTTAGTCATTCAAAAACAAGCAGAGCAGGGTCTAGAAATACAGAGCAGGGTCTAGAAATGACCATCTCCTTATTGGTGGAAATTTAAATTGTTGGTACAGATTTTGAAAAAAATATGACTAAAACAAAAATTTAAAAATTAAATTTCGAAAATTCGATTTGTTTTGGAATGATCCATAATACAAAGATGTGTTGCAATTATTGTACACTTTACAGGAATTGTACTAACATTTGTACATAAGTAGTTTTGTTTAAATCATTTTATTAAATATGTCAAGATTCTTAAACATAAAAACCTGTTTTAACTGAAAAGTGTACATACATTATCATTAAAAAGTAACATGTTTTATACAAATATGTTACACATGTACAGATTCTTGTACAAATGTGTTACATATGTACAGATTCTTGTATAAATATGTTACACATGTACAGATTCTTGTACAAATATGCTACATATGTACAGATTCTTGTACACATATGTTACATATGTACAGATTTTTGTACAGAAATATTTTAGCATTGTACATGTTCCTGTGGATTATGATTGGTGTACGTAATTTATAATAAAAGAACTATATTATTTATCTCAAACATTTTTCTCTAATTTCTTTATCTTTGCAACCTGATAATTTCAAACTTTTAAATCTTGCAAAATCTAAAGTTTGAAAGCTCAATATCAATATATTGCAAAGATCTACGGATTAGACAATTAGAGCTTGAGACGATTAATCAGTAAAAAACTAGAATGCTAACTGACCATTTAAAAAATTTAAAAAAAAGATTCTCAGCTAAAAACTAGCATTCAGTCCCTTTATTCCCTGCAGCAGTGTATATGTCGTTGTTATTAAATTTCTAAAATTTATTATATGTGTTTTGTTTGATCATGGCTGTGACTAATATATATTGTAAACAATCTGAACTCTCCTACATTAATAAATCAGGAAATTTTTCAATCCGCTCGGATGAAATTTTTAATTTTGTTTTAAACTATGATCGGCACGCAAAATATTTCTACATGCAACTTTTTAAACAGTTTTTTTTAGAGAAAGAGAGTTTTTTTTAACAAATCAGACAAAATAATATTTTATTTTCCTTATAAAAGGGATTGTGTCTGCAACTGTAATTTTAAGTGACCCTCCATTTATAGCTAGAGTAGAATGTTCAATTAACAACGGTACCCTTAAAGGTTTGCAAAACATATCATCCTTCTCTTTGAAAACTAATGGTTTTCAATTGAGCACGTTTCTCTCTATAGTGACTTGTGCATTTCCAAATTTAACAATTTAACAATTTAACAATTTAACAATTTTAACAATTTTAACAATTTAGCAATTTAACAATTTAACAATTTAACAATTTAACAATTTGATAATTTAACAATTTAACAATTTAACAATTTAACACTTTAACAATTTAACAATTTAACACTTTAACAACTTAATAATTTAACAATTTAACAATTTAACAATTTTGCAATTTAACAATTTAGCAATTTAACAATTTAACAATCAAACGATTTAACAGTTTAATTATTAAACATTTTAATAATATTTTCACAAATTTGAAATTTGCCCTTGGAACTTTTGAACCGTTGTGTATTCATTGAGTACAGAGTTCTGTGTGTGTAAACTTATCGAAAAACGCTTTTATTCTTTAAAATTCCGATACGTGCTGTGTTCAGCCTGAACTTGAAGCAGCTGAAATGTGTATATAGTGTCCCATGAAAATATCGTCTTTTTAGCGTTAAAAGTGGTTTTCAACATTCGAAAGTGAATATTTATTTATTTATTTCACTATTGCAATTTTTGAATATAAAACAGCTTGCTAACAAAGTGTTTTAGTAGATTAACAAGGATATTTCTGACATCCTTGATCAGTCAAAGGTTTTAAGGGTATCTCTAGAAATTAATCTGAAGAATAAATTAGTCGTGAGATTAGAAAAAAGAGAGGATCAAGCGTTGATCTCCATATCCACCATTCTAAAGAGTTTAGCTGAGATTAATTCACCGATCGGGATTGAGGATATCCTATTCTAAAGTTTTCAGCTCAGATTAATTCACAGTTCGGGATTGAGGATATCCTATTCTAAAGTTTTCAGCTCTGGCCTCACATTTTTGTGACAGCTCACATGAACCCAGGAATGGTTTAAGAAAAAAAATGTCGAGACTCTTTTTTAAAAATGCGCAAATTTAAAACAGAGAAATCTGTGAAATGCGATTTACAAAAAAAGGCAGTCGGAGGAGCAATGGTTATCATCTAAAATTGTTAAAATAAATGGCACCCTGAAAGACTGGTATTCTAAAAATTCCAAATAATCCTTGAAATATTGAAACTTCATAGCACAGTGCTATACATAATACATTTCTAATTTAACATTATGATAAATACTTTTTCGCTTGTATTTATTAAAATTTATCATAAAGTTAAAGATAAATGAATGATAAAGTACACAACAGTTTCATAAAATTTTATAAATAGTTTATTATTTTTCTAAAAACTAGATGAAATCATTAAATATTTAAACATTGTTCTCCTTAAACTTGTTAAAAATGTAAAATTTAGTTGTTTTTTTTTCAAATAATTTGACTTCCGAATATAGCCGAATGCCCAGCGGGATTTGAAGCTCTCAAGACTCTCAATGACCCCTAAAATTACTATTAATACTAAGAGTAGAGAAAAATATCCCACCAGGACCAGGATAAGATTAAAATTCTCTTTAAGAATAATTAAATATTCTCTCCTTGCATTTAAAATTCTTTGTTCTTCCTTCAAAACATGATGAATTCGTTTTCTATTAAATTATACAAGAGCTTATCACGCCAACTTTACTATTAAATTTAGTTCTAAGTTTTGATGAATACATCTGCACCTTAATTCATACTTTTATCTCAGCTCGGTTAATCTTACTTAGAATGTAAAACATTAATTTCATTCGGAGGTTTATTCATCCATTTAGGGAAAAAACTTTTTATATTTATAAAGATTTGGGTCACGGTCAAAATATTTTTTTTCATATTTTTTAAAGTAACTATATGACAAAGATTATATATTTCCGATTGAGCACATGATTACCCTTTAAACCCGTTATATTTCCGATTGAGCTCATGATTGCCCTTTGAACCCATTATAATTCCAATTCAGCACATGATTACCCTTTAAACCCATTATATTTCCGATTCAGCACATGATAACCCTTTAAACCCGTTATATTTCCGATTGAGCTCATGATTACCCTTTAAACCCATTATATTTCCAATTCAGCACATGATAACCCTTTAAACCCATTATATTTCCGATTCAGCACATGATTACCCTTTGAACCCTTTATATTTCCGATTCAGCACATGATTACCCTTTAAACCCATTATATTTCCGATTCAGCACATGATAACCCTTTAAACCCGTTATATTTCCGATTCAGCACATGATTACCCTTTAAACCCGTTATATTTCCGATTCAGCACACATGATTACCCTTTAAACCCATCATAAACGTTTCACGGAAAACCAGAAAGTTACCTAAAATTAGATATCTACTGTTTAGACCGGGTCACCTTTAAAGTCTCGCAACCTCTTTGGTCTTTGGTTTTACTTCACTAACTCACTTATACTTTTTAGTAGTTACAACGCTTGTTTCTAGCTTTAGTTTAAAAAAATGTAATTGGCAAAATGCGGGTAGATTTTTGATGACTGTGGTCTACAGTTCATTTTTTTAAGAACATGAACCAGCAAAAGAACTTAACACTCGCCTCAATTTCTAATTTTCTAATTCCTACCTTGGCAAACTGATGCTGTAAACCTTTAGTATATCATGAGATATGTTAGATGAAAATAATCTAAGTTTGAAATATTAAAGTTCTACGACATCAGGTTGCAAATTTATATGAGTTTGTGGCAAGTGTAAAAGCAGTTCCTTTGTCATCGGTTTAATCAGTTCTATGACATTTTTACATTTAGTTAAACAGATGAACGGTTGGGTCCGTATATTTCTCCAGGGAAATCAAGTAAATATTCAAAATATTTCGGAATATTCAACAAATTTACCAAATATTAGTTTTGACAGAATTAACTTAAACAGAAATATTGCGGACAATTTTTAATTTAAAAATTCAAAATACAAAGTTTGTATTCTGCAGAAATGTTTACGGTTGTGAGAAATCTTAATATAAATAAATAATTTTCATAATAGTTTAAATAAAATCTGTATTCTCAATTTATGAAGATAGCACATAAAACAATTATTTAACTAAAACATTGATGTAAAAATATTAAAACTAGATGAATGGAAATGGCTGTGATCTACTTGATATTTAGACTGGACAAGGTTCTGTTTATCTTCTCCTGGTTTACAGGAGGTAAACCTGAATACTTGATACAGTTGAAACCAGGAGCTCGAACTTTCTCCAGGTTGAGTTTAGTTTCATAATTGCTGGGTAGAATTTGATCTCCGTACAGAATCATGAACTCAACCAGTACACCATTGGTCCAACCAAACCCAGTTTGTACTTCATATTCTCCTCCTCCACCACTAGTTCCAGCTCCCATAGCATCATACTTCTCATACAGTGTACACAGGTCGTCAGTACATGCACCCAGAGCATTGATAGTAAAGTTGCTGGCTATATTGTACGCTACCCTGGAAGCTTCCAACCCACCAGTATTTCTTAATCCTGTTAATTAATAAATATTGAAAACTAAAAGAATTAAAAACATCAAGGATTGATAAATTTGTTTGCACAAGAGCACTATTTACCTGTAACTGCCATTTCCTGCATCGGAGGCCAAACATTAGGGGCATCCCACTGGAGTCCACTTTTATTTAAAGAGGTTATAAGACCTCCAGGACAAACTGCTCCGACATCCTCCAAATATTTAGCAGCAGCATCTCCTAACTCAACTGTTCTATCCTCTGGGTAGCAGTTGGTCCAAAGAGGGCAGATGTTGCTCGCAAAGAAGAAATCACGTTGTTTATTATTGAGAATATCGTAGTCTCTCCAGGTCTTGGTTTCAGTATTGAAGTTGACCTGCATTACTGCTTCTCTCAGAGTGTTCGCCTTGTGCAAGTGAACGTCACTCTCAAGGTCTCTGTCCAGTATTGAGAGAAGGTTGGAGAGGACTGTATAGTTCTTGTACATGATAGAGTTAAGATCTACAGGGATGATAAACCTGGTTCTAATGTTCTCCAACCCTCCATTACACCCTCCCTCGGGATCAATAATCCATCTGCAACTAAAATCCCATCCACTCTCTGCTCCTGCTCGAATATGTTTGAAGAGTTCATCCTTCTCCTTCTCAGTGTCTAACCCTGCGTGTTCAATGATTTCAAGATCCTCCTTGTAGGATTCAGGTCTTGGTCCGTATCCGTTGGTATCATATCTAAACATGTAATAGGTTCCTGATGGGTGGATCACTTCTACACTTCTATTCTTCTCGAACCATTTCATCTCTTCGATCAGGAAATCTATGTCCTCCAGGATGGTCTTATCTCCGGAGAAGTCGATGTAGTCCTTCACCATGAATATTAGGAGAGGGGGCTGGCTTCGGTCCAGGTAGTAGGACCTGGTTCCGTTAGGAATGAATCCGTGATGCTTGATCAGATAGAAATAGTTTTCAATGATGCCTCTTGCAGTTGGGATGTCGTTAGACCTGAGAAGGGCTTTGACAATCCAATATGTGTCCCAATAGTAAACCTCCTTTAGGATAAACATAAAAATGAATTTTTAAAAAATTGAACTGCAGTAAATCTTCCGTAAAAAAATATTTTGTTTTAATGAAATATTGATAGTTTGATGAAAATCCTTCCTTGAATCTTCCACCAGGAATAACAAACATGTTTGGAACATAGAGAAGAGAAGTCCGTTTTCCAAGACTTTTCACTTGAGGTCTAACCTGCTTTCCGAGATCGAACCAGAGCTCCTGGATTTCTTTGGCAAGTCTGATCAACTCTTCATTTTGTAGAGTATCAATATACGAAGGGTCAGTATCCAGATCGTTGGAATTTACAGGCACAAGCTCCCAACCGGAGTCACCAAAATTCTCCTCAACAAACGCTTTTATCTCTTCATTGGAAGGAATTCCTTTACTTTCGACTAGTTTGTTCCAACGGGATTGAATTGTATACGGTGAGAAAAGGGCTGGTCTATCCACAAACTCTTTTCCATCGTGAAGCACGTCGGATACTTGAACATGGTGTAGGATTGGTCCATGCTGGAACAGTTCCACATCAAAGTCTTCAGTGAACCTTATATCATTGGTTGCCAAGATCACTGGAGCACGAATGCGACTGCTTGCACCTGGAAGATTGACTCCAGAACCAGAATTGTTGTCTGTACGTCTATCCATGGCTAATCACTTTGCTGAAATTGATTGCGGATTTTCACATTTCATTTCGCGGATTTCGTCGATAAAAAATTTGATAATTAATGTAATGTTATGCACAAACTTTTGTCGATTTAATTTATTATTTTCTTGATGTGTACTTAGTAAAAACAATTTATCAAAAAAGTATTTTTTATCCTGTTATTTAATATTTTTAAATACGGCATGAATGCAAATAATTCCAGTACAACGTTTATGGTTTCAGGACTTTTATTTAAAATATGTTTATTTCGAAATTGGGTAAGGTTTCCATTTTTGTTAGCAGGCTTTCAAAAATTATTGATTTTTTCCAAAAACTTAAATTTTCTTTTTCCTAAATCTTTGCAAACTCACGGTGTAAACCTTTGATATTTTAACCTTTAACTTTTGATCTAACTGCAGTTTGTATAGTTTCAAATAACAAAGGTTTACTTCGTCAGGTTGCAAAGGTATAGAAATCAAAATGATATAGTTTGTGGCAATAAAATCCTTTTCAAGTTATTTGAAAAAACTTGAAATTGACCATGAAATGTTAATTTTTGAATAGAAAGATTGATATTATTCAGAAATATTGAATCAGCTCAAACCTATTCTAAAACAGTCCCTTGATTAGTACTTTATTAGAATTAGAGCTTACAGTATTGTAATACAAAAACAACACTGCATAGTGGACCAAAAACCAGTTCTTATTGTTTTGAAAACAAAAGCAGGAAAGATTTGGTGTAAGAGAGTAAATTGAAAAATGCCATGAGTAGCTTTGAAGAAACAATACACAAGAGAGAGAGTTGAAATATCAAACAGTCTGTATATTGAGGAATCAAGGTAAGCTATCGAGAGAATATAAAAAGGGGAAAGGAAGGGACGATAATGTTAGAAAGGCAGGAGTGGGGGGGGGGGGATTAATTGATTAATTATCTAGCGTTTACTTTTTAACATTAGGTGAAATGTAACGTTTTTTTAATCTTTGTAACAAAAATATATAGCACAACAGTTTTTAAATAGAACCTTTAAATTGACGTAGAAGAGAGGAAAAAATTCCCCTTTTATGACGTAAGATTAGATTTACCCCCTTTCCCTTTCTATTGTCTAGGCTATATTTCCCCCTCCTCTAGTTGCTTGATACTACTAGTAGTACTATATACTACTCCATGAGATGAATAAGACAGGGTTGATCATTGATGATGAATTCAAGAAGGATTAAGCCGAATATATTATATTTGTTCATCAATACCAACCAATATATTCCGGTATGCAATATATACCTCTTCCAACCACCACCTGCCGTATATAATAATGCATAATTTACTCTTTATTCTGTATACCAGGGAGAACTCTAGTGTACAGGGGGAACCCTGGTATACAGGGGGAACACTATAATACAGGGGGAACCCAGGTATACAGGGGGAACCCTGGTATACAAGGGGAACCCTGGCATTTAGGGGGAACCCTGTTATACAGAGGGAACCCTGCAGTATGCAGGGGGAACCCTGCAGTATACATGGGGAACCCTGCAGTATACATGGGGAACCCTGGTTTACAGGAAGGTCCTCTTACTATCTATCTATCTATTTTAATGTTTATACTAATATCCCTTTAGTGTGAACGTTTAATATTAATTTATCAGGTATAGCTCAGTGTGTTTCAAAATTTTTTCAAACGCAGTAAAAATCGAGCCGAAATTTTAGATTTTTGGATATTAAAGGCAGGGAAGAGTAGATATATATCAAAAATGTTTAGTTATTTATATATATCAAATTTCTAAGTAAATATAATTGATTTATTTTTATTTTTTAGTTGTAACTGTTCATGGACAGTCCATAATTAATATCTATTGTGCTCTTTATAAAATACTAATTATTCATGCTATTATCTGTGTAAATATATTTACTTTAAAGTTAATAATACGCTTACTTATTCTTTTGAAAAAATCCATATGGTTGAAGCATATTTTCACGCTTAATACGATAATTTTAAGTTTTATTGTGTTCAGGAAAAAATATTCTTTTGGACTTGTTCAAAGCCTTTGATTTTAATTTTTGTTGGAACAAAAGAAAACCCTAGATACTTTAAAGGGAGGGGGGGGGGGGGGCGGTACAGGGAAGGGTGTTTAGGGACAGGTGGTGGGCGGGGGGTTTGAATGGTTGGGTTGGTGAAACCGATTCTTTTTCCTTTCCTTATACTCATATTTTTCTAATCTTTTATCTTTGCAACCAAATGTAATTTAATCATTGGACCAATTCTGTTAGATAAAATAGACAAAATTTGAAATGTCAAAAGTTTATACTATCAGGTTGTAGAGATTTATTCTAAAACTATTATTAAGAATACAAAATATACGTTTTTGATATTATTTTATACTTTTACTTGTTTGTTACTACTAGGAGAAAACAGGGATTCTTTAATGAGTTTTAATTATTCATAATTATTCCTGGGACTCTGGGACACTCATCCTAGATATGGGTTTTTTTTTTACTTTTTTAAAATTTTTCTTTTCAATTGTGGACAGTTGAATCGGATCACGTTGTGTTAGCATTATGAAAAAGACTTAAGATAAAGAAAACTTTATGATATTATGTCATAAAACTTTGATCGAATCTGAAATTAAGTCTATGAAACCTCCAAGGTGTATCACAAGACGTTACAAAGTGTTGTGATGAATATTTGAATTAAAATAATCTATTATTTTGCTACGCATTTTTAACAGTTTGATCACAGCCAATCACATTAAAGGGGTTGTCAGCTTAGTTTCAATTTACAGTTCATGTAAAGATTGCATTGACTATTTCTCAATGGCACCATTTGTAATGTCTGATCAAGTATGAATTAGATATCAATGTTTATAATTCTGAAAAATGATTATTTTTATCTGTGGTTTCTCTATAAAAGTGACTTGTGTGTATTTGCATGTTTCATGTTCTTTGGACGATATAAAAGTCGTCTTTCTTTTCTATTATTGGTCTGGCTGTACAAAAACAAATATTTATAATCGAAAATATATAAAAAAGAAAAAAGTAATTACAACTCCCATATCTAACTAATCTACATTTTTACACTTTTAATTTATTCCTCTTTTCTCCTCCTAATGGGGCCTAGTGAGATAAAGTAATTAAAATATAATCTGTGCACTCTCACTCAGATCTAAACTATTCTCTTTTCCATCCTTTTAAATAGGTAAATTATTATTTCCTTAGATCACAGTGGTAGGTGAAAACTATTTGCTTTACGACAGGAAATAATGAAATTTGTTGAAAATTAGAAGTATCTTAAAAACTAAGATTATTTCTTGTATTCCATCTCATTAATAAATATATACATTTTTATAAGAGCTTTAAAAACCAAGAACTTTGAAAACCAAGCTAAGAACATTGCCGTGGTTCCTTATTCAAAATTTCAGTAATTTGGTTAAGGGGTTCTTGAGTTATGATTGGGGACATTCGAAGAAATAGACTGGCAGACAAATAGCGAATATTTCTCATCAACTTGGGATATTGATTTTGAGAAGACGTCTTTTTAGTGGTTTATCAACTTTTTTGAAATAGCTATGCAAATGAAAATTCTAAAGAATTATTGGATGATTTTTTAACCTTTTTGCTGGATTTTTATCTATCTATTGACGAAAAACACGTTATTAAAACACTTTGTATACAATATAATAAAGCTCAGATGTTCTCACATATATGAATATTTATAAATATGAAATATGTATATATGTTCGCTGGCCAAACGGCTGGACCAAATTTTTAAGGGGATCCATGAGTAAAAAATAACATAAACCTTGGAAATGCCGGGTGCTCCAGCAGCTAGCAATTATTATATAATTAAACAAATTGTAATAATTAAAGAAAAAATACTCGTTTTTCACTTTTTAATCTTCTTTTTCAACAATTCTTGATTTGTGATTTCTCTTTAAATACAATTACTTTATTTAAACTACCTACACTACAAAGAATTTACTGAAAGAAAGAATGCTGCTTAACTCAAAAGTTGGAACTCGAGAGCTTTTACTTTAACTATTTACATGACACTAAGATTTTTTATATACATAAACTCTAAATCTTTAAGGGACTATCATCGAAATTAAAAGTGACCCATATCACATGAAGATTCACATAGGTACTTTTTTCGACCTTAATCTGATTAAAACTGTAGAATACAACTTTTTTAGTGTCTTAATCTGATTAAAACTGTAGAATACATCTTATCTAGTCCTTGGCACATTTACGTTTACTTGGGACTAAAATTTGGTTATATTAACGAAATTTAAGATGAAAAAATAATTTTAAAAATCTAAGGGAGGGGAATTAGGGGGAAAGGAGGAGGAAGGGAGGGGAAAAGTGATGGGGGGGGGGAGAAAGGGAGCTCTTTAAAGTTAAACAATGAGATCTCTTTACCCTGATAATTCTAGTACGAGAACAATACCCCGCCATATTCCAAGATTTAAACTTTAAATAAAAATAGTTTTCACGTTAGAACATCCGATTAAACAAGATAAGAATGATATGAACACTGTTTCTTATAGGTGAGCATACAATATGCATTGTTTTGGGGTTAAAATATACAATTCAATGGGTATAGAACCTAGGTGGGGGTTCGGGTACCCTGCATACATTTCTTATGTTTATCGAATCTTATCTTAAACATTTAGAAAAGTGTAAAAAGTGTTTTTTTTTTTAAATTTTTTGGTTCTTGGAAATTTTATGAATTTTTTATTAAATCTGAAAGCTTGTAGAATACGTTTACTAAATCAAATAATCTAATCTAATACTTCTGAGTAAATATGTCATATTTTTTATTTAAAACCTTATAAATGTAAGATCTGATGCTACAGTGTTTTCCACGGAAGATGAGACTTTGAAGATGGCTCTTTGTAAAAGTAAAGCTATTCATTGTGTAAAAAAATATTGTATGGAACTATAGTGTATGTACTTTATCATTATTACTCACTTCATCGTGAATTTCATAATGAACGTGCTATAAAGTAATCATTGTGCTATAATGTTAAATTAGCT